ACCACATCTAGCCCTTATTTTCTTACTTGAGAGTTAAACAAAATCGATTCAAGTAATTTGTATCTAATTTTTCTTTTTTTTTTTTTTTGAGACGAAGTTTCGCTCTTGCTGCCCAGGCTGGAGTGCGATGGCATGATCTCGGCTCACCACAACCTCCGCCTCCCAGGTTCAAGTGATTCTCCTGCCTCAGCCTACCGAATAGCTGGGATTACAGGCATGTGCCACCACACCCAGCTAATTTTGTATTTTTAGCAGAGACAGGGTTTCTCCATGTTGGTCAGGCTCGTCTCAAACTCCCGACCTCAGGTGATCTGCCTGCCTCGGCCTCCCAAAGTGCTGGGATTACAGGCGTGAGCCACCGCGCCCAGCTCTAATTTTTCATTCACTTATTTTATCCTAACAATTTTCCCAATACTAATTTAAAATCATTGTAATGACTAGAAAATATTACAGAGACTGGCTATGGCATAATTTATTTAACTATTCCCTTTTAGAAATAATCTCTAATATTACAATGAATGTTCTATATACACTAAGCTTTATTGAGACCCTAATTATTCCCTTAGTATAAATTCTTGGAATTCCACTTGGAGTAAAATTATTGGATATTTTAACACCCTACTTACATACTGCCAACTTCCTAGAAGTATTACAGTAATTCACACTGCCAACATTAGATGAGAATGAATTTTCATCACACCATCGCCATTGCTAAACCTTATTTTTCATTTCTCTTTGCCAATTTGATTTCTTAAAAGGTTTGCTGTTGTAATTACAAGCAAGGTTAAATATTTTATCATGATTGACTATCCAAATTTCTTCTTGTTAAAGCAATCAGTTCTTTTCATTTTTAAAAGATGGCAACAGGCAGGGCATGGTGGCTCATGCCTATAATCCCAACACTTTGGGAGGCCAAGGAGTCAGAAGGATCACTTGAGCCCAAGAGTTTCAGACCGGTCTAGGCAACACAGTGAGACTCTGTCTCTACAAAAAATAAAAAATTAGCCAGTGTGGTGGCACATGCTTGTAGTCCCAGCTACTCAGGAGGCCGAAGTGGGAGGATCACTTGAGCCTAAGAGTTCAAAGCTGCAGTGAGCTGTAATCATACCACTGTATCCCAGTCTGGGTGACAAAGACCTTGACTCCAAAAAAAAAAAAAAAAAGTGACATTGACAGTCATAGACCTTGGCGCAGTGTATGGCAACACAGTAAGTAATGCTAGTAAATAAGTAAAGGCTAGTTACTTTTATTTATTTGCCCTAGATCATTTTGATCCCAGAATTTTTTCATCTTATAACTGAAAGTTTGTATTCTTTGGCAACTAGTGTTCTAGTCTTTGCTTATACAAGTTCAACCATTTTTTAGTGACTGAGTCTCCCTCTGTCGCCCAGGCTAGAGCGCAAAAGAATAATCATAACTCACGACAGCCTCCAACTTCTGGGCTCAAACTGTCCTCCTGCCCTAGCCTCTTATTTTTGAGATGGAGTCTCACTTTGTCGCCCAGGCTGGAGTGCAGTGGCGCAATCTCGGCTTACTGCAACCTCTGCCTCCCGGGTTCTAGTTATTCTCCTGCCTCAGCTTCCTGAGTAGCTGGGATAACAGGCATGTACCCTCACGCCTGGCTAATTTTTGTATTTTTACTAGAGACGGGGTTTCACCATGTTGGCCAGGCTGGTCTCAAACTCCTGATCTCAGATGATCCACCCACCTCGGCCTCCCAAAGTGCTAGGATTACAAGTATGAGCCACCACACCCAGCCCTGCCCTAGCCTCTTGAGTAGGTAGGACTACAGGCATGTACCACCACACCTGGCTAATTTTTAAATTTTCTTTTCTTTTTTTTAGACGGAGTTTCACTCTTGCCCAGGCTGAAATGCAATGGCGCGATCTTGGCTCACCGCAACCTCTGCATCCCGGGTTCAAGTGATTCTCCTGCCTCAGTCTCCCGAGTAGCTGGGACTATAGACATGCGCCACCACGCCCAGCTAATTTTGTATTTTTAGTAGAGACGGGGTTTCTCCGTGTTGGTCAGGCTGGTCTCGAACTCCGACCTTAGGTGAACCGCCTGCCTCGCCCTCCCAAAGTGCTGGGATTACAGGTGTGAGTCACCACAATCGGCCTTTTTATTTTTTAATAGAGATTGGGTCTTGCTATGTTACCCAGGCTGGGTGAATTCAACTTAAAAAACAATTCTACATATAAATGAAGTCATGCAGTATTTGCCTTTCCGTGTTTGGCTTATTTCACTTAGAATAATGTCCTCCAGATTAATCCCTATTGTCATAAATGGCAAGATTTTCTTCATTTCTATAGCCGAATATTATTCTACTATGTAGAGAATGTATGTACATATATATACACACACACACACACACACACACGTATATACACACACATATATACAAAACACAATGTCTTTACTCATCTATCGATGGACACTAAGGTTGTTTCCGTATCTCAGCCATTGTGAATAATGCTGCAATGAACATGGGAGTGCAGGTATCTCTTTGAGATACTGATTTCCTTTCCTTTGAATACATAACCAGATGTGGGACTGCAGGGTCACATGGTAGTTCTAGTTTCAGTTTTTTGAGGAACCTCCATACCGTTTTCCATAATGGCTATACTAATTTATATTCCCACCAATAATAAACAGGGTTCCCATTTCTCTACATCCTTGCCAACACTTGATTTTCTGTCCTTTAGGTAACAGTTATTCTGACAGATATGCGGTAATATCTCATAGTGGTTTTGATTTGCATTTTCCTGATAAATGATGTCGAACATCTGTTCATATACCAGTTGGCCATCTGTATGTCTCCTTTGGAAAAATGTCTATTCAGATCCTTTGCTCATTTTTAAATCAAGTTATTCATTTGCTTGCTACTGAGTTGCATTCCATATATATTTTGGATACTGACCACTTTTCAGATGTACAGTTTGCAAATATTCTCCCCCATTCCATTGGCTGTCTCTTCACTCTGCTGATTGTTTCCTTTGTTGTACAGAAGCTTTTTAGTTTAATAGACTCCCACTTGCTTATTTTTGCTTTGATTGCCTAGATTTTTGGTTTCACATCCAAAAAATCACTGACCAATGACAAGGAGGTTTTTCCCTATGTTTTCTCCTAGGAGCTTTATGGTTTCAGGTCTTTAATCCATTTTGAGTTCATTATTATATATGGTACAAGATGAGAGTCCAATTCTATTCTTTTGCATGTGGATATCCAACTTTCCCAATACTACTTATTGAAGACACCATCCTTTTCCCCTTTGTGTATTCTTGGTGTCCTTATCAAAGATTAGTTTATTGCACATGTATGGGTTTATTTCTAGACTCTCTATTCTGTTCCGTTGGTCTATGTGTCTGTTTTTACGCCAGTACCATATTGGCACACTGTCTTAATTACTATGGCTTTTTAATGTAGGCTGGTTGCTATTTTTATTGTTATATTCACAAACTTCTATCCGTAAATGCTGGTAAAGAGTGAATGATAAGCTGGCCTAATACAAATTGGCCAAAAGTTGCTGTTTCATGCTGGTAGGTCTACTTAATACATCCTTTTTTCTCTATTATGAGAAAATCAAGTCCCTTCTGAGGCCGCGTGTGGTGGCTCACACCTACAATCCTAGCACTTGGAGAGGCTGAGGCAGGAGGATCACTTGAGGCCACAAGTTCGAGACCAGCTGATCAACATGGCAAGACCCTGTCTCTACTAAAAATACAAAAATTAGCTGAGCATGGTGGTGCACACCTGTAATCCCAGCTACTTAGAAGGCTGACACACAAGAATCGCTTGAACCCAGGAGGTGGAGGTTGCAGTGAGCCAAGACTGAGCCACTGCACTCCAGCTGGGGGACAGAATGAGACCCTATCTCAAAACAAACAAACAAACAAAATTAAGTTACTGAGGTTGTTCCTTAACATTAACCTGACTGTCCAACTTTCAGGTACATGAGCTTGAGGTATTTTCTTCAAAACTACACCGTGAAGACTCAAGCCATGATTCTGGTTTGAGGAAGAAAAAAGCTCATAAAAAGTTGCCCACAACTCATGATATTATGCAATTATATGCCTTTAGAGAGAAATGACTGCAATGCTAGACCCTCTCCTTAGGTTTTAAAGCTAACCTGAATTAGAACTTAGGAAAGAGTTTCAGCATAAATTCACACTGCTTTGATCTTGCATTTCTAAGTGCTTTTTATGTGATCCCTCATTTAGTATGTGATCCACCAACATCACCATTAGGAACACTTAGCACAGGATAAGTAACAAATACAGAGTTGCCAAAAATGGGATTTTATTATACCACTGTCTATTTTTGTATGTTTGAAATTTTTAGTAACATAAAACACACACACACACACACTCAGAGTAATGAAAAAGGAAAAAAGTGCCTAAATACTTAAAAGTAAACTCACCACTTTAGAATTCTCTTTGTATCGAAAAGCCAGCTGGTAAGCTGCAAATACCAATGGTGGCAATGTGAAGCGAATCCGCTGATTTCCACCAGCTCCAAAATGTTTTCGTGCTGTGTTCAAAATCTGACCCAAAAGCATTAAAGAAAAAAAATTTCCAAACTATGATTAATCATTTGTGAAATAAATGTGGGCTCTAATCATCATTGCTAACATTTTGTGAATATATACAATGTACCATAGTTTATGGTAGGCAATTTATATATTTCTTATCTCCTCAAGTTGTCACAACAATTCAGAGACAGATACAATTCCATTTCACAAATGGGGAAGTATGAGTTTCAGAGAGGTTGTATAACCTGCCCAAGGTAGTGAGTTAGAAGCAAAGATATATTTAAATATATTTTCATATACACACATGCAAAGTATGCTGCATTGATAAAGAATGTAGGCTCTGGCCAGATGTGGTGACTCATGTGTGTAATCCCAGCACTTTGGGAGGCCAAAGGTGGACAGATAAGTTGAGGTCAGTAGTTCGAGACCAGCCTGGCCAACATAGGTAAACCCCGTCTCTACTGAAAATACAAAAATTAGCTGGGCATGGTGGCGTACACCTGTAATCTCAGCTACTCGGGAGGCTGAGGCAGGAGAATTGCTTGAACCCAGGAGATGGAGGTTGCAGTAGGCTGGGATCATGCCACTGCACTCCAGCCTGGGTGACAGAGCAAGATTCCATCTCAAAAAAAAAAGAGAAAAAAAGAAGGCTGTGAAGACACTCAGAGACTCACATTTAAAAGTAAATCCTAATACTTGTTACATGTGTGGCTTTGGGCAAATTATTTACCTTCTCTTAGCCACAAGTTTCTGTAAACTCCTAGGGTTGTTGGGAAGATCAAGTGACACGTGAGGTTTCACCACTACTTAGCACAAGGCATATGCTCAGTAATATTAACTACTACTATGATACAAAACAACTATATGCATATTACTGGTACATCATACCTCCTCATTCCAAAAAATATTAAGACCGAAAAGGCTAATATACTTTAAAAGAGCTACTTGTGAAATATTCCATGAATTCTGTGTTTTTCTTGGATTTTTTTTCTGAAATGGTACAACATATAGCCAATTCAGAAAAATTACAAGAAAAAGAGTTTATAAAATGTTTTTAATATGTGTGACACAATGACATTCAGATTTTGTGAAATTCCTGATATGGCAGATGAATAAGAGAATGTATTTTCCCTCGGGCAGTCAGAGCTAATGACCCTATTATTAAAGATCGTTATACATGGGAATAACCAATCAGCCACATGCAGAAGGCATACTTTTTTTTGAGACAGAGTTTCACTCTTGTTGCCCAGGATGGAGTGCAATGGCGTGATATCCATTCACTGCAACCTCCACCTCCCAGGTTCAAGTGATTCTCCTGCCTCAGTCTCCCAAGCAGGTGGGATTACAGGTGCCTACCACCATGCCTGGCTAGTTTTTTGTATTTTTAGTAGAGATGGGGTTTCACTGTGTTGGCCACGCTGGTCTTGAACTCCAGATCTCAGGTGATCCATCCACCTCAGTCTCCCAAAGTGCTAGGATTATAGGTGCGAGCCACCATGCCCAGCGGGAAGGCATACTTTCTAACTACTACATTTGGTATGCAATAGAAAATGAAAACACACAGACACACACAATCTCACACAGAAACTTAAGGGAAACAGTTAAAATACTCAGTCACTCTGTACAGATGACATAGCTCACAGAGCACAATACCACAGTCCTGGAATGTTTGCTACTAAGCCAAGACAAAGACCATCACACTATCAACAGCAGTCAGCCTCTTATTTCACACTGATTATGAAGAAGTACAGCAGTGTCAACTACAATGAAGAAAGTCAACAGAAAGAGATAAAACAGTCAGGACATCCTCAAGCAAATGTCTTTTTCATCATAGCAGCCTAACAGCCTTATGCATCCAAGAATGGTTAAACTACTTTGCCCAAACAATAATTAAGCAGTCAACTGTGCTAACCCTTCACTAAAATAAATTCTCTATCTAGTATCAATCACTGATACCCCTACTCAGGCAACATGCTTTATCCATTTCACAAAGTTTCCCTGTGGACTAATAATAAAGAGAACCTCATGTGATTGTTCTTTATCAGAAAAAAAAAAGTTAAGAAAAAGGCAAAATGAATTTTAAAACCTCTCATCAAAAAACAAAAACGCACATTTTCAATGTGACAAATATAATTTATACTTGCAAATTTGGAAAAGTAAAATTAAATGTAAGAATTGTATTTCTTATAAAGTTTATTATAAGCAATACATAGTTCAGAAAAAAATCAACATGGAATAATTACGGGCACTCAAGTAAAAGAAGAGACTTTTTTGTAATTCTCAGATAGTCTTCAAAAGAAATCAGAGCAACTGAATTGTTACTCACATGCTCCAGAAGTTTACAATTATGTTTATATATAAAGTAAAAGCCCACAGATGCTATGAATCTCTCTTTTTTTTTTTTTTGAGACAGAGTCTCGCTCTGCTGCCCAGACTGGAGTGCAGTGGCGCAATCTCAGCTCACTGCAACCTCCGCCTCCCGGGTTCAAGTCAATCTTTGATTCAGTTGCAATTCCTTCAAAACTGTCTAAGACCAGAAGGTGAATTAAACCATTTTAAGCACTTCATGTGATTTCACTAGGAGCTGATACAGGGATATACTAAGAGTAAACTCATACCAAGTACTGCTGGTCAGGGTCCTCAGAGCGCAGCAGATGAATGAAGCGGCCCACAAGGCTCTGCTCATCAGCAAAGTCTTCTGGATCAGGGTCCTCTACAGGCTGATCTGGCTGATCTTGAATCAGTGTGGATACCAAATTCATGATGGAATCCACCTGTAACATGTGAGGCACAAGAAACCCACTGACGTGAAACCATTGGCATATAAAGCCACTGTCAAAAGTGTTTCCAGTTATAAAATTACAATACAGTATCAACAAGATATTCCTTTTTTTGGTTAGAAAGTCGATACACATGTATGTCATACACACATATACAGACAAAAGTCTGGAAAGATATGCACAAAATGTTAATTAACAGTGGTTATTCTGTATCTGGTGGAATTATAAATGTTTTATGATTCTTTATAGATCTCCAATTTTCTAATTTATATAATGAATAAGTTACTTGTACATTTTCTTTAGTATTGAATTACCCTCCCCTCCCATCTCAGGTATCTAGGTCCATAGTCTAAAATTGTAACACTGTTGCCCTAAAATAGCATGGAGGTATTCTCTTACCTGGTCTTGAGAGACAATTTCTGTGTTATAATCCAGAACGTTACTAAGCACATAACAACTCATGCTCTTTCTGGACTCATAGTCAAAGTACTCAAAGAGTGGGTGAAAATGTTTTAATTTCAAGACTGTTAAAATATTGTTGTAAGTGTCAACTGGTATTTTCAAAAGTCTGGTGAGTTCCTTTGAAACTGCACTACTGGTAGCAATACTACAAAAAGAAAAACAGAAGTCTTAATGAACAAAATTAACTTTCTCTATACACAAATAGCACTTGTTCTGTAAGAATTTGAAATTTTTCATTACACATTGAAGGAAATGGGTCAGGTGAATCATACCACCACAGAAGACTGTAACAACCTCCTTTCAAGAGGATAAAAAATGCTTATCTAAACATAAATATATATATTCATCTATTATTTTTCTGTTGATACAAAACTAGAAACAGTTTCCAACTCATGAACAGATAGTAAGCTGGAGTTAAGATGACTGTCTAGAATTCGATGACATTTCTAAGGGAAGTATTTTAAGTGGTAGTTTGGTTCCCAGGGGGCAGCCAACAAGTATTGTATATTCACGATGAAAATAAATAGGAAAAAAAATCCATGCAAAACCAGCAATTTGACACAATAGAAAAATACATAAACTATTTCTTCTGCATCAGATGTTGGTGATTAAGGAAAAGCAGGCTGACTGACTTAGGTAGTGGTTAGTAAAAGCATTCTGTAGATACTGAGGCATATTGGGGCATTTATTACAACCTCTTTATAGGTTGTTATTTCCAATGATTTTGTCTATTTTTACTTTAAAATTCACTTGGGGAGAAAGACATAGATCCATCATTTAGTTTTTTTATTTAAATTTTTTTAATTTTTAATTTTATTTTTTATTAGAGACAGGGTCTCGCTCTGTTGCCCAGGCTGTTCTCAAACTCCTGGGCTCAAGTGATTCTCCCAACTCAGCCTCCTGAATAGCTGGGATGACAGGTGCAAGTCACCACACCTGGCACATCATTTAATTTTCGCTCATACTTATTCCATATCTGAACTTGTTTTCCGTTCGCACACACACAAAACCAAAATGACCAAAAGAAAAAGGGTAACACAAACGGAGGAAAAAAAGAGTAAATTTTCTTGATGCAGGTAAACCACTAGAAGGGAGACAGAAAGGAGGAACATGACATGAGGTAAAATTCTCAAGAATATGGGCAGGGGAGGCAGGCCTGGCTTGAACCAAGTCCAGAGAAGTGGGGAATGGGGCAGGAAGGGAACTGCGGGGGAAGGTTAACAGGATCCGAGCTGCCCACAGTGGCCACTACAGGACGCCACAGGTCTAGGACAGAACAGCTAAGGAGGCTTCAAGTTGGAAACAGGACTGTTCATACTTCCTTGAAGGTATCAAAATCAAAGCTCAAAATAGAAAAGATATTTAAACCAATTTAATTCTGCACCTTAAATATACATACACCCTTCATTTTTCACCATGTGCTCATTCGTAGGAAAACACCTCTTATGGAAATAAATACTGCCTGAGAAAGTTTCCTTACCAGTTTAGGAACTCATTCACACACAGCAAGCTCCTCCAACCCGCAGCCCACAGGCTGCATGCAGCCCAGCATGGCTTTGAATGCAGCCCAACACAAATTTGTAAGCCTTCTTAAAACATTATCAGTTTTTTGCAACTTTTTTTAAAGCTCATCAGCTATTGTTAGTGATAGTGTATTTTATGTGTGGCCCAAGAAAATGTTTCTTCCAATGTGGCCCAGGGAAGCCAAAAGACTGGATGCCCCTGATACACAGAAAGGGATCCAAATTGGAGTCACTGGTCCCTGAAGACTGCCTATGGTCCACAGGTACCACAATTTCATTAATATACACAACCAAGTAATTGGTCACCACTTTCTGCCCCTAGTAGTGCTAAGCATGACAATCTTAATGCATGATTAAAACAAAACAAATGCCAGCATTTCAAAAAACAATTGAGAAAGAAAAGCAAATCTAGGAAAAAAGTGTCTTTATGAGGATTTTTACAAAAATGTAACTGACTTACTGTTCAAGGTTGAGCTTATTGAATATCTCCACTGTTGTTTCTAGAACTTTATCAACATAGTCCACACGATCAGGGTAACATTTCATGGCAAGATTAATGAGAGAGACTTGTAAAGATACAACATCCTCTGAAGGCATGTCTTGTCTAGACTGGAATGTTTAGAAAACCATACAATTTATTTTAAACAATTGTAAAAGGAAGGCAGAGAAGTTTCAAAATTTTGAGAACTTAGGAGAAATGCTACACAAACCTGTATCACTGTAGCCACCTGCTGTGAAAATATATCAAAAAGTTTAATATCTGCTGGGATTCCAGGTCCATCTTCACGGTGAGCAAATAAAGCTAATCTAAAAAAAAAAACAAAACCCCTTTATTTTAAAAGATACAGGGTTTGCGTAGTGAGATCATGGATGACATCTTATTCTTTATTGCTTTTCTATATTTTGTATGAGCCCAAAAGGCTTCTTTTTTTAGACAGAGTCTCACTCTGTCGGCTAGGCTGGAGTGCAGTTGTGTACTCTCAGCTCAATGAAACCTCCACCTGCTGGGCTCAAGCTATCCTCCTCCCACCTAGGCCTCCTGAGTAGCTGGGGCTAACAGCATGTGCAACCACGCCCAGCTAATTTTTGTGCTTTCTGTAGTGATAGGGTTTCACCATGTTGCCCAGGGTGGTACTAACCTGGACTCCAGCAAGCCTCCCTCCTTGGCCTCCCAAAGTGCTGGGATTACAGATATGAGCCACTGCACCCGGCCTCCTCAATTCATTTTTAACTAAACAGTTTTGCCAGTGCAACCTTTTTTCTTCAGCATTCTTATTTCATACTATACTAAGTAGATTTTCAACAAGATAATTCTCTCAAACTCTTTGAAGCATAATTAAGTAGATATGGACAGAAATGCATTAAAGTGACAAATGTATTCAACAACCATGATTCAAATAAATAATCTTTAAAAAATAAAAGTACATAGACTATTTTAAGATACTGCATTTTTACTAAAGTTTGAAATACAACTAAGTCTAAAATTCATAAAATTAACTTTTATTTCCCTCATCTTAAATTACTCAAAATAATGTCTGTTTCATTATCATTATCTGTTTGTCACAGTCACAACTACATCCACATTTTGTTATGCCCAGAAGCATCACTACTGACAGAGATGGGTAAGTGACATTACAGGCAACACAGGAAAATCCAGTTACTAGCTTCCTTTAAGAGGGGGCCCAATCAGTATGGAATTTTTGCTGCCCAGGATTGAGCTGATAATTTGGAAAATTTTGTAATCTGAATTCTCAGACTTTAAAATGAATAACTTAGTTTTTCAAAAAACATACAAAAGGTATCTGCAGAAATAAATCTTCACTTAGGTTTCTGGTTTCATGACAATGCTTACAAGTAGTAGGACAGACATTCTGTACTACTACACAACATGGCTGCAAAAAAGTCACCCATTGGCCAAACACAGTGGCTCACATCTGTAATCCCAGCACTTCAGGAAGCGGAGGCAGGCTGATCATTTGAGCTCAGGAGTCTGAGACCAGCCTGGCCAACCTGGCAAAACCCCGTGTCTACTAAAAATACAAAAATTAGCCGGGCATGGTGGTGCATGTCTGTAATCCCAGCTACTCGGGAAGCTGAGACACTAGAACCCCTTGAACCCAGGAGTTGGAAGTTGCAGTGAGCCAAGATAGCACCACTGCACTCTAGCTCGGGTGACGGAGTGGGACTCTGTCTAAAAAAAAAAAAAAAAAAAACTAAGAAAATAAACTTAAATGTATGACTAAACATATTTGATACTAAAATTGTTTTCTTAAAGAAAATGATGGGCCGGTCGCGGGCGCAGGTGGCTCAAGCCTGTAATGCCTAGCACTTCCCGCGCAGCGCACGGCGGAGTGATCAAGGTCAGGAGCATCGAGACGTGTTCCCTGCAACATGGTGAAACCTGGTCTTGGAAACCCGTCTCTACTAAAAAACACAAAAATACGCCGGCGCGTGCGCGTCGGCGGGCGCACTGTAGTACTTCACTACTGGGAGTGAGGCGGGAAGAATGCGTAACCCGGGAGCGCGTGAGCTTGCTAATACCCGCGAGACTCCACGCCAGCTCCGCAGCTCCAGCCCCGTGAGGCACACGCGAGACGCCTCTCTAAAAGAAAAAATAAAAAAAACCAAAAAGGAAAAAAATGTGGTCCGGCGCCGTGGCTCAAGCCTGTAATACCCCAGCCAACTTCGTAGGGGGGCCAACGACGGGTGGATCACGAGTCGGAGTCGAACCTATCCGCGCTAACACGGTGAACCCCATTCTCATCGTACTAAAAAATACAGAAAACTAGCCGCGAGGTCGGGCGCTGTATTCCCCAGCCTACTGCGAGAAGCTACAGAGAATGGCGTGAACCTGGCAGACCAGCATGCAGTGAGCTGAGACTCACCCACTGGAACGACACGAGAAGACTCCGCTCCCAAAAAAAAAAAAAAGAAAAAGAAAACATGAATAGAGTGATTACTTGAACATTTCCAATCATCTGTATCTTATGGCTACTCTAAACCAAATGAGTTCCCACTGCAAGATACTTACATCACAGTAAAAAACAAATTTTGTTCTTCAATATGATCTCTGGATTTGTACAATTTAAAAAAAAAGTCTGCACAACGTCTTTAAATGTCAATTAAACACACAGAATAAACATCTTATCTTCATGTCTCCTGCACATTTAAGTTAAGCCTCTTTCGTGTCTAACCAAGGCAAGTACCTAGTACTCATACTCACAAAGCTACACTATTTATAGTATAATTAAATTAAGATCATTGGTATGATAAAGATGTAACAGAGACAAATAATTCAAAAAATGTTTAAAATTCATTATTGTCAAGTCCGAGCATGTATCCTCCAGTGTTGGAAGTTCTTACCTATCAATTAAAGCAATGATTATGTTTTTCACGTTTACATTCTGGTGTAACTCAGCGCAGGCCCGAAGAAAAGGATTCAAAGTCTGGAGGTGAAATTCATCAGGGAAAACCTGAAAATCAAATGATCAATACAAGTAAAAGTATTTCACATAATATTCTGAACTCATATGGTAAAGTTCACATTTGTGGGGGAAAAAACACTGTAATCTTATACAACTAAATTTGAACACATTACTTCTGAACCTCTCTACTAAACATAAGCTCAGACAGAAATATTCCAATAAACAAAGTGCACCTACAATTAAACTAAAGCTAGCTACAGAGACCAGGAAAACTCAGATGACTCATTCCTACGGTTTGGAGGAAAACAAACCACATTGATGCAAAGACCAAGTTATAAGTCGGAAACAGAAAATCCCTGTTTTTAAATTATTTTTAGAAGAAGCAAGATTACATGAAAAAAAAATTTTTTTTAATTATTTTAAGTTTTTATAGAAATGGCATCTTGCTATGTTGCCCAGGCTGGTTTTGAACTCCTGGCCTCAAGAGATCCTCCCACCTTGAACTCAGAAAGTGCTGGGATTACAGGTGTGAGTCACCACACCCAGCAAGGAAAATTCTTTATTCAGGAAAGCTTATTTCCTATTCCTTCAAAATTTTTTCAAAACAAACTTAACGAAAGATAAAATAGGTCATTTTTTAAAAATGACATGTTCCCACCTACCTGAATAATACACTCCATGAGATATTCTTGAGCCAAAGCATCCCTACAGTTTACAACTTGCTCCAATATGCCAGTCAAAACAATCTAAAAGAGAAAAAAACACACATAAGGGTTAAAATCTGTTTTCAAACTCTTAAGCTATTGCTCTAGCAACACATTTGAACTACTAACTTGAAAATCATATTTGAGATTTTTCTCACCAAGACTTCACTTCTAATCTTTAAAAGCTATTTTCTTTTTGAGACAAGGTCTTGTTCTGTTGCCCAGGCCGGAGTGCAGTGGCAAAATCTCCACTTGATGCAACGTCCACCTCCTGGGCTCAAGCCATTCTCCCACCTCAAGCCTCCTGAGTAGCTGGGACTACAGGTACATTCCGCCATGCCCAGCTAATTTTGGTAATTTTTGTAGAGATGGGGTCTCTCTATGGTGCTCAGGCTTGTCTCAAACTCCTGGACTCAAGTGATCCATCTGCCTTTGCCTCTCAAAAGTGAGCTTTTTTCTTCATGGCTTGTGCTTTTTTGTGCATCCTCAGAAATCTTTGTCTAATCCTAGGTCATAAAGATTTCCTCTGTGTCTTCTTCTAACAGTTTTAGGTTCTATATTTAGGTCTCTGATAGATTTTGTGTTTTTTCTATATGGTATAAGGGATGAGGGTCAAGGTTCAGGGTTTTTTGTTGTTTGCATATAAGCATCAAATTGTTCCAGAATCACTTGCTGAAAAGGTTGCCTGTGTATTTTTATCAAAAATAACTGATCATAAATATCTGGGTCTATTTTGGATTGTCTAGTGAGAGATCGGTAAACTGAGCTGCTGCTTGTTTTTACAAACAAAGTTTTACTGGAACACAGCCATGCCCGTTCACTTCCATATTGTCTGTGGCTGCTTTTGCACCATATCTGCAGTGTTAGTAGTTGTAGACCAGGGGTGTCCAATCGTTTGGTTTGAAGAAGAATTAGAAGAATTGTCTTGGGCCACACATAAAATACACTAATAACAGAAGATGAGCTTTTTTAAAAAAAAAAAAAAAAAAAGCAAAAAATCTCATGTTTTAAAGTTTACAAACTTGTGTTGGGCCACGTTCCAAGCTGCCCTGGGCCGCAGGTTGGATAAGCTTGTTGTAAGGCATACGTCTTGCAAAGCCAAAAACCATTTATTATTTGGTCCCTCACAGGTAAAGTTTGCCATTCCCTGTTTTATTCTCCTCCATTGATTTGTGTGTCTATCCTTTTCACCAATACCACACAGGCTCTCACTGTAGCTTTAGAGTAAATCATGAATTCAGATAGTCTGGGTCTTTCAACTTGTTCTTCCTTTTCAAATTTGCTGTAGCTGTTCCAGGTTCTTTGTTTCCTCATATAAACTTCAGAATCAGCTTCTTAATTTCTACAAAAGTCTGCTGGGATTTTGTCTGAGATTACATTGGATCTATAGATCAATTTTTTTTTAATGCTATCTTGACAATATTAAGTCTTCCAATCCACAAACATTGCATATATATCTTTCCATTTAAGTCTTCTTCAATAAAAGCCATTTTAAGATGTTTTTCAATGTACTATTACGTAACAAAAATATTCTGATTTTAAAAATCAGATTTCATTTTATCTCAGAACATAAGAAGAGGTAACAAAAAGATATAAACCTGTTTGTAACGTTCCACATTTACACCTTCCAACTGACTGAGGCGCACCAAATTTGTTCCCACTAAAATTCTCAGTTCTTGTCTTTCTCGTTCTCTTTTTTCTCTATCTCGGCTATGTCCCTGATGCTGCATTCGCACCCAGAGTTTGTTCATTTCTGCAAAGTTCAGTAGTACAAAATCCATGGAATCACTGATGTCACCAGTTGTTTCTTCGCTGCAAAGAAACAGAAAAGTCTTTACACAGTATTTACAGAACCAACCTACTACTATCCCTCTCCTTTGTGCATTTCCTACTTATCTCTGTAGTACACGAATGCTTTATAAAAAATCACTTTCAACTTCATTGGCTTAGTGTTAAATTTCAAAGGGAACAGACTCTAGGGTAAAAAGTACCATGGAAAGGACACTATAAATTTAAAGGGCAAATTACTTTCCCCAACTCTGTATCTGGAGTTGGGCCAACTGGACTTGTTCTTATGGCAAATTCCTTAATTCAAAAGGCTAGAAGGATGGACATGGTGGCTCATGTCTGTAATCCAGTGCTTTGGGAGGCCAAAGCAGGAAGATCGCTTTAGGCCAGGAGTTTAAAACCTGCCTGGGCAACATAATGAAACCTCACCCCTACAAACCAAAACCAAAAACAAAACGCTAAAAATTTCAACACTTATGGTGTATTGCTAACTACATCATTTTACTGTTGAATATTTTGTTTTTAATTGGAATGTAAGTTTTGTGAGGGAAGAGACCATGGATTTCCTGCTTTATTTTTCTACGTCTCCTAGGATGGAGACTTCGGCAGCTTTCAAAAATTTTTATTGATTGCCTAATTAAATGCTCAAAATGGATAGTCAAAACATAATAAAGCAAATAACTTCATCGATTTCTCTACACTGTTAATTTTTTATCTTTTCTGTACTGTTTAAAAAGAAATTGATGCAGATATATTAAAAACCATTGAATTGTACATCTCAGAAATAAATGATTTTTTTTTTAAAAAAATAAAATCTGTTGGAGCAAACTGGAAAAAGATTAAAAATTAAAAAAAGAAAATAAATGAATAAACTTTTTAAAAAAGGAATGAAGTTCTTTAATCTGAGGACCTGTCATGTGAACAGCTTACCCCACTGAAGACCACAGTTGGCTGACCATCTGCCCCTGCTGTGGGATAAAAGTACAGTACACTTTGATGCTAGAATACTGATTACACAAGAGACATGAGTGTCTCTGAATGGCTTTTATTATTTCTCTTCTGGAGTTAATAGGTAACTTGTAACAGATAACTCAAATCACTTATATTCCAAGGTAACTAGCAGTCTATAAATTATAAAAACTGATAGACATTAAAGGAACAATTATGAAATCCAGCGGGCTCACACTTTATTATTTCATTACAAATTCAATTTCCAAATATAACCCTCTTAAAAAAATTGTATTTTCAAAGAATATTTAATGTAGTGCAAAAATGCTCAATTACATTAACTGAAAAAAGCAGGTCCTAAAAATCCAAAGATAAAATTTGCATAAGAGGACATTGTAGAGCATGCTACATATACTGAGGAGTTCTATATTACAAAGGAAATCTCTATACAAATGCTACCTAAATGGCTGACTGGGTGGAAGAATTATTCAAACCTACTTTCTGTACATGTTTCCACGCTTTTATACATTCTACAATGAAAAAAATGCTGCAACAAAATCAAGAAAGTAAGCCACTTACTCTGTTGGCTCTCCTTCATCAGGTAAGATATTTCTGGTACACTGAAGAAGGTAATTTCGAAGAAACAGACCCCTCAAGGGATGCTGCACACCACGGCACATTTCTACCAAATCTTTCAAAATATCCTTCCTGGACTGAGGAAATGACTTGACATACACAACTCCAACTGTGATCAAAAGGTAACTAGGAGAAGTATGAAGAAATGCTGATTATAAATAAAATATTCAAATCAAGAACTTATTTCCAAACACATTGAACAAAATATTAAATAAAGATAGGAACCATGTTGTTTTCTCCTGCATGACAAGGAAAATATCTGATTTAAAATATAACCACTGATCTCTAAAAATACATACACACACACTTATACTGTACATACACAACATAGATATTACCTTTAAACATATTAGGAAGAGAACAATTATATTAATTTTTCTAACAGTCAAGACATTAAACAAAATAGCAAGCATGTACATTTTTCTATTTCTAAAATTCCTCAAATATCTACATAAAACGTAAATCTAGTTACTCTAAAAACAAATAAGACAGTATCTACCAAAATGTTAATCTTTATTTGTTAAGAAATTACCCTTAAAACTTTTTCTTAAGCTGATAATCATAAAGGACATAACATAAAGTGGGAAATACAGACACAAAAGTCCTCTGATTTGTTATTACTTACAGCCTTGGGATAATGTTTCCAGCATACTGTACAAGTTCATAGAGATCTGCCACTTTCCTTCCTTTAGCAAACTCATCTGTCAGGTAGACCTCCAAGTAGTGCAGTTCATCAGAAATGGCCATATCTTTTAATTATGATTAAGGACTAAAAATAAAGATAAGCCAACCTAAGCAAAACTTTGAAACTTGGTGGAGTCATTGAAACTTGGTGGAGTCATTATTAACTACTGGGCAGGTATCTTAAGTTTTAGTCTTTTAAGAGAGTGTTCAAGTGAAGGCAGAATTTTAGTTGGGCTTTTCTTACTTTAAAATAAGGGTTTTAAAGCATGTGTGGTGAAGCAAAGCAGTAAATATAACGGTTACCTGTCAGACTGTTAATGGGTTTTGAAATGGCAAATGATTAAAATTCCTGTCCATTTGAGGCTGCTGCGTAATAATATCTAAGTATTAAAGAACCAACTGCGTCATAGCCTGAATATCCTCATGAAGGGTCTGAAAATTGAGATGCACCAACAACAGACTTAAAGACATTGAGGCATAGGAAAGGAGTACTCTCAAAGTGTTTTTCTCACTTAGCACATCTGCATGGAGGAATGCCATGTGACTCAGATAAGGAAGTAACTCCAGACAAACTTCATAAAGAACAAACAAAATTATCCTTATCAAGAAAAAGGTATGGTCCAAATGTCTTCAACATTCAAAAGATACAAAGTTCATAGTAGCTCTTTGGTGATAACATAGAAGTCCGGAGTTCACCAAGCATATTAGAAGCATGTTTTAGAGCATCCATAAGCTTGTTTTTGTCCTACAGAAATACCAAGAGAATAGATGAGAATGCTTAATTTAAATAAACATTTATCTTGGTTGTACAAACTCCTTACATCAAGGACTTGTTACATAGTTTTAAAAGTGTACAGCACTTAAATGATTTTTAATCACATAAAAAAATCAACTTAGATCAGTTCACTTTGCCATCCCTACTGAAAAAGAAAAAGATTCATGATACTTAGTAGAGTTCACATAGCTAAGACAGCAAGCTTCTTGATAGAATGTTAATCTTTTCAATCTATAGAGACTAGGAAACTAGCTCCATTCATCACATTTTACCTGCAATTAAAAGAACTGGCATACTGATTCAGGCGAAGGAAGATACTACCCTGACATGGCTTTGTCATGGGTTAAAGACTCTTCAGAGCTGTCTGAAATAACTATTCATGTAAGTTTGCTTTCTTCTTACATATTTCAAACCCTCAAAATGCCCATATGTTCCACTTAACTCAGAAATGCAAGCAATTCCTTGAGACAGAGGAAACACTATCCATACCCAGGAAGTGGAAGAAACAAACAATAGCAAAACCATCTTCTCCATTCCAAGATATTTATTTTTCATTCCCAACTTGTTGGGAATGAAACCAATAAAAGATACAAGAGCATATTACTGTGCTTTGGAAAACATAGTAAGACATCTTACAAAGGTAAGACAACATCATCTTCATCACAGTAATTTATAGCTTGAAGTACCAACCAATTTGGCTCAATTCCTTATCTTTTAATCCAGAGAATCGACAGTATCTACACAGATTATCTCTTACTTTATCTTTTAGAATATGAAAATATATAAATAAGTGTTAAGTATAATTTTTAAGCTATCTTCTATAATAAATATATCTATTCAGGAAAGAAATTAAAGTTTTCAAGATATTTAGAAAAAAAGCTGAATAATTCAAATGCAAAGCATTTAAATTCATTCATTCAACAAACATTTACAGAGTACCTGTTATACGTTAAGTACTCCTCAGGTCCGAGGTATAGAACCAAGGAGGCTAGTAATTCTGGTCAGACACTGGTGTGGTAATATTACAGTAATGCGTAAATAAAAGGAAAAGCCTCTTGCTCTTATAAGCATGTATTCTAGTAGGGAAGACAGACAATCCCAAACCAAAAATATACATGTGAGTAAGCAGGGCCTCTTTGTTGAAATTGCTCCACACAGTGCTTGAGGAAGATGAGACTGAAGATAGATGCTGGTGGACAGTGAAGATTAGATTTACCAGAAACAATGGTGCCACCTAACTCTAGAAAACACTGCACATGCTTCCTTAGGAACACACGAACTCCAACTGTGCCTCCCACATTTCCATTCTTACCAGGCATCTCTTCATTTGGAATGACTGGACCTTCACAACCTGTATGGCTTCATCCAAGAGCTTCTCCTGCTCATCCTGAGGGGACTGCTGCATTGTAGGCTGAAAAATAAAAAATTCCACTGACGTCTCAAGCACATTCTTCTAGCAAATATGTTATTTCTATAGTTCTAGCCATAGTCCTTCTCCAAGACTGTCACAAAAGGATCAATCCAGCTCTATACCTCAGACCCATTTACCAATTATTAAGAGCTGCTGCACGCAGAGCCATGCCCCATCACTGAAGTTAACAGAGTAAGACTGGCAAAGGAGAACAGCATGTGTACAAAGAATTCCCTCTCAGAAACTGACTCAACATTGTTGTAGTATGTTGGCATCAAAGAAACTTGCAGTGGTAGTTCATGGCTGTGTTCTGCTAACACACTCTGAATCCAGCCCAGACAAAGCCATCTGACCAATCGAAATCTTGTGATAGGTATAGCCGAAACCACTCTGTAAAGCCTGTCTTTTCCCCTAGACTACTTGTCATCTGCATTTCAATCTATTCTTGGACAGACTGAGGAACTAGTTTATGAGATCACTGACCATTAATCTGCACCATTTACTATGACCTTTAGATCCTCATTACTATAATTTATTCCCAAGTAAATGTCTTTTACTTTAGAGAGTCTTTGTGTGTTTGTTGTTTAGGTTT